ATACATGTTGGTAAATGGAATTGCCTATTCCGTGACATCTGCTCTTGGTAACGGGGGCAATTTCACTGCTCAGTGTATTCAATCAAACCTGCTACCGCCTCTGAGTGACATCATCTCGGCGCTTAACAATGCCACTATGGTTTCTAGTGCCATCGCTGGCAATGAACCAATCAATTGCGCCAGTGGAAATCTCTTCAAGACTACTCTTGGGGATTCAAAATTCGTCATTTGCTCTTTAGGCTCAACTGGTTTTGTCGTTCATAATTGCGATTTGGATATTGTTGTCGACTATTTGGACAGTCCAGTCACCATAACTGCGCCCAAACTAAGTGATGATGAGGCACTGACTTGCGAAACTGTCGTGAGTCCCCTTTCAGTATCGGAAACGACGCTCGCCTTGTTGACTGGTCAGCCCATTCCGTCTTCAAAGCAACGTAATTTGCAGGCTACATCTACCGCAACTCTGGCACCTTCATCTTGTGGATGTAGGTCGACCCCACGTCCCTGTATCTTCTTCCACGGTCTTGGTCAAGACACGGAACAGACCACGCTTCAAACACAGTCAAGCTACTTTGGAGATCTTTCCAAAAGCGCACCGTGCTGCTCCTCCGTGCACTATGCCCAGCTGAACACCGTCGACAACCCGTGGACCGATGCTACCTTGCAGCAAAAGGTATGCAATTTCTCTCTATCCGTGAGTAATACGAGCAGCTTCTCATCGAGAACCATAGCGGACACAATCATTGTCACGCACTCAATGGGCGGTCTCATGATGGCTGGTGCTCTGGCAAATGGACAATGCTCGTTTGCATCAAACACTTCATGGGTGAGTTTGAGTGCACCGATGGGTGGTAGTATGGGCTCCGACTACGTCCAGAACGCTTGCAGCGGCAAAAACGTATTTATTCAGGCTATAGTGAACCTAATTGGACAATGCCCTGTCAACAATTCCACCCTGGGGCTTGCTTACCAGGACGAGAATTTCAGCACGTCAGCTCTCAATGCAGCATTTTCTGCCGCTCAGGACGCATTCCGTTCGAATGTCCATGCTGCAATGTGCAGCGACAACTTCTCGGGGCTTTTTTCATTTGATCAGATGAAGTACTTCATGGGAGGCACCTTCGTCAACCACAAATCAAAGCAAAATGATGGTATCGTTGAGTACTTGAGCTGCTCGAAAGGACTTGAGATGTCCACTTTCGGTAATTCCTATAACGACACTTTTTATCTGACTGGTTTAAACCATGCTGATACAGCTTTTCTCCATGGAGACTCGCTGTTTAGAGACTCGCACAAGCCAGTGAAATGGTTTGAATGCTTGTTATAAGAGGCAGATACTGATTCTCATTTGTACGTAATATAATGATCTTTTGCCAACTTTTTTGAAACCGATGCGTCCTGAACTTACTTGCAGTCGACCAATTACTAGAATAGCCAAGGTGTTGTCCATCGCCTTGTCTTAGTACAGCATAATGAAGTTCTAACCTGGAGATATCTAGAATCACATACCATGTTACAAACTGGCTTAAGGTGTCGGCCTTAACTATTATTTTGTGGGAGACAGGCACCTGTCAAATAGCAACAAGCCTCATAGTGAGCTTTGGTATGAAGAGCTCGGCACGCGCTAAAGCAAAGTATTTTCAGGACTCATTCACGAAAATTCTGCGTGCATGCTGTACAAAAGGTTGGTTTTGATGTCTTGCTGTGTCTTTTCAGCATTTATTGTAAAAATATTTCTTTTGATATATTGCATTCTTCGTTTCTTAATGACCCAGACAACATATTGAATCAGGAGGGTGCTCGGTTCTGGTTGTAGCGTACAATCCAATCTCTTTGCAATGTATACACGGACTATTGACTTGAAGCATTCTCTGTTAAAGGTGAACGGCAATTCCGTTGCACTTGGACCACTAGAAGTCGATCCCATGACAGATTCGTAAAGTACGTATCCAAGCTAGGAGGTAGCGCACGAGAATGGGCGTGCCTCAGTAAATTGGTGTTTTTTAAATAGATGCGCTGGATGTTTGCACCGCCCAACCTGACGAATCGAGTGCGTTTAAAGTATCTGTCTACCTGCAAAATCAAACAGATTATCTCAAGAAGTTAAGAGATCGTATCGCTATAATGGCGTCATCTCATTGGTGACGGTTGCTATCTTCACTGATGGCACCCAAACAGGTGTGACTTGAAACGAAAGTGCAAAGGGTCGGGCCCTTCGCAAGGGCAAAAGGTAATATCCTCGAGGGAAAGCAGATTCTTAGCGGAAACATGAAAATTGGGAGATTGAGGTCAGCATATTCAGCCTTGAACAAAGCGGCTAATTCAGAAATTGGTGAAACTCCTGGCTCATGGTTGCTGGTTGTTTATATAGACTTTCAATGCTTCGTGAATATGTGAAAAGTCGTGATTAACAAAGTGGCGGCATTCAATTACGTACGACACATGGTTGTCGAAAACAGTAGACAGTATGCGGAGCCATTGAAGTTATAAGTACGCATGCAATATCCGTGTGTTGTGTATGGAATGAATGATCAAAGATCGAAGTCTCGGTTAAATAATAATAGGTTAATAAACAATAGAGTAAAACAGCACCTCTTCTTAATTTTGGAAATATGTTCTGATCTTATCCTGGATATGACAAAGCTTAATGCCACGAAATATGAATCGGGTGGAAGTTGAAAGAGTTAGAAGCCACGAACTTCTTCCCCGGTGAAGTGTTGAGTCATGAAGTCACACTTTCCTGGAAGCAGACGCGCTTTTAGCGCGGGCACGAAGACACGATCGCCTTTAATCAGGAAACCACACTGTACAAATTGGAAAGCAACGATATTGATAAGTGAATCGCAATGTTTGAGACGAAGATGCTACAGTGAGCCCCGGTCTCGGGATGAGCATAGAGAAGCGAATAAATTCGCAGATTTGTATACAACTATATGTCGTGGTACTCTGGGTGTGTCTCTTAGCAAACGGTATAGCCACAGCTGTGTAATGGTGTATCCTATGCTAGAGCCAATTACGAGTAGAAACGACTGGGGTCCGCAGTCTCTCTTACAGGAGATTATAAGAAAATGGGTGACAGTTAATTTCAAGTAGAGTACCAGACCCTGAAGCTGAGAGTGATACACATCTTTTTCGCGATGAAACAATAGGGCTGAGTCAAGCACTACTGTGTGGCGGACAAAATTTGCAGACGAGTGATTCCTCAAGTTTATGAGGCAAAAGTTGATCATTCAATCAAAGAAGGAAGTGACCAGGGGGTCCTCAGTTTCCTTTGGCGGGAGATAATAAAGAATGTGGAACAATCATACGGAAGTATACGCAAAAATGCAAAGGGATGTTAGTATGTTTGGTGTCGGATATGGAACTGAACTCACCACTCATCATGGATGGAAACCTGTCTCTGATAGGTCCGTGGGGGGATAGAATGTTTGCCACACGTCATAGAGCACGTAACTTTAGATTGTTGATAAAAAAATACAGAATAGTTAGACCTTCCTAATAATAATGGGTTCAAACCTTTTTTTTATTCCTAAAAATTGTCAATATTGAATTTAAGTAAAAGTAGAAATACTAAAAAAGTTGTTGTTTCGCTCCACCCAGGAGCGGAAGTGTCTGTGCGTTAAAAGGTGTGCTAGATTGCGGATGGTGGAAGAGCAACTGATGTATTAAAACCAAGGCATTCTCCGCGCACCTAGCTCCTAGAATATGCACCTGGACCGAGACCCCCCCCAGGCCCAGAAAAAAAAAACCGCGACCTCTTAGGCCACTTCAACCGCCAACGGCCATCCGGATAATCGTATCCGGATTCGTTTTTCAACACGCCTACAAGCTCGGCTTTGGCAGAGCAAGGCAGTGTGGGAGCCCAATGGAGTCCACCACGAGACTCGCACCTGCTGCGGAGGACTCCAGCTTCGACTCCAGCTTTGAATATCAGAGAGCACTGGGCATGCTCATGTATCTCGCGACCGGAAACAGGCCGAATCTGGCATTTGCACTCGGCCAGTTGTGTAGATTCGTCGCGAACCCGACTGTGAAGCATGTGGCAACGCTCAAGCGCGCATTACGATAACTTCTGAGCACTCAGACGCGCGATCTCATGTGCAGGAAGGGATCCGGGGGCCGTACGGAGCTGACCCTGAGCGGATTTTGGAATAGTGATTGGGGAAGTGACCCCGAGACCAGGATGATCACGAGCGGATTCGTTTTTATGCTGGCGAGTGGAGCGGTTACATGGATGTCCAAGCGTCGGTAGATTGTGGCCCACGACTGAGGCTGAGTATGTGGCTACATGTGAAGCTGCTATGGTAGCGAAACCGCAGTTCAATTTCTTGTCTGAGATATTCCCGTCTATGCACGTGCGACCGGTCATTGGTATCGACAATAGTGCGGCACACGTGATGGCTACCAGCCCGACTTATTCGCGGCGCACGCGCCACATCGAGCTGCGTTAGCTCTTCGTGCGTGACCAGGTGTAGCGTGGTCTGATTAAGCTCGTGAATGTAAAGGAAGAAGACAACCCGGCCGATGCGTTCACCAAGCCACTCGATAAGGTTCGAAAAGACAAGCTGTGTGTTATGATGGGGATGATGAACCAGCGCATGACAATGGCAGCTGGCTGATTAACACACCCTCCTCGGTTTGGGTCATTTCGATACCCAGAAACTCAGTCAACCTCCCGTGGTCCTTCAGGCCATACGCCTTGTCGAGCTCAGCAAACAACCCGATCTTGCACTCCTCATCATTCGTGGCACAAACCATGTCGTCGTCGTAGATCAATAGCAGCACAATCTTCTTTCCGTCGATCGAGTAGTAGAGACAGGGTTCCGTAGCACACCGTTCAAATCCGCGGTTCAAAAAATACCCATTTATCTCCGAGTTCCATTCACGACCGGATTGGCGCAAGCCATACAGCGCCTTCCGCACCACGTAGACATACGACGGGTCCTCACACGGATACCCCTCGATCCCATCGACTTACTGAGCGGTCTCGAGTGTTGCATTTAGATACGCAGTGTTGATGTCCCCACCGTAGAGTACAAGATCAAACTCTGCTGTCATGGTCGCCGTGATGCGAAACGGAGACATTCTCACGACAGGCGACGAAGTTTCCAGAAAATCGATTCATGGCCTCTGGAAATTTCCGAGCCCCACGACTCTCACCTTGAATCTCACAACGAAGCCTCGCGCATCCGTTTTGATCGTGTGGACTCACTTGGTCTTCACCGCATCTCGGTCTTCTTGACCTGTCCCAAGACCTCCTTGTTTTTGAGCGCAACCATTTCCTCCCGCTCAGACATTCGCCAGAAATCCGCATACTTAGAACTCATAGCTTTATATAGCTTGGCGTCGATTCTTTGGGACTCTGATGTTCTTGACACCAATCGGTCTGCCATTACGACCCAATATTTTCGTCGCAATACTTTCCCATCTGACAAAGTCATCGAATCGAGCCGGTCGGCTCGTCCACTGACGTAAGCCTGTGCGACGTTCTTTCATTCGTTCTTCTGACGGGGTGTCGTCCCGTTCCACTCGCTTTCGCAGGCCTTCTGGCAGTATGATCTTCTCAAGCACGGATCGTTCCGTGACGGTCGGTTCCGACACAGCACCGGTATCGTCACAGTCCTTGCTCCGGCCGTTTTCCGTATGATTCTTGGCCTCCGAGCCCTGCTCGTGAGTCGATTCCTGCTCGTCGGTTGGATAGCTTACGTCTTCGCCCACCTCGGTCGCATCGGCGACCGAACCTTCGTCTGCTGGGTCCACCTTCGATTTAAAATTAGCCGAGACAGACTCGTCATCATCATGACTATCATCCGCCCGGTCACCCGTATCCTGGCGATTCTCACCGCCGTCCTGGTTGTCGTGATCTTCGTCTTCGTCATCCTCATCGACGTCTGCCGATCGATCCCTTGTACGCAACAGTAGCACTGACAATAGACTCTGCATCCCCCGAGTTGTCAGGTACGACGCTCTGGCTAGACTCATGGATGCTTTCCATGTCCACGCCGCCGTCACTCGAGATGCTGGTCGTGTCGTCTTGCTATCCAACTTCTTCGGTCGCAAACCGTAACCATTCACCATCATCTCAAATTGTTGGATCGACGTGATGACGGCCGCCGTACATCACGTCCTCAATAACGCGAACCTCAGCGACAAACTTGACTGAGTTCTCGCTGAAGAAATACACACGTGCGCCAACGATGTCTATTTCAAACCCAAGTAGATAGCTGATGATAGCATTGTCGTTACTCTTCGGACGCTCCGGTGTGTTCAGCACCTGAATGTTCACGAGCGAGCCAAAGGGCCTCAAGTGGTGCGCATCAGCTTTCACGCCGAGCATTCGCTGGACTGAAATCGCATAGATGGCTCGATGGTACATCATGTTCTTGATGTAAACCCCATACAAAAAGGCATACCACCAAAGCGAAAGAGCAAATCCGGACTTGTGCATCTGCGTCTTCGTGTAGTCATTCAACGAGTGGATCGCACGCTCCACAGCATTCAGATGTGAGCTATTAGGTCCGACTTTGATGTGCTCAATTCCATGCTTCGCATAGAACGCCTTCATATCCTTGTTCACCAATTCACCACCTTCCTCTGTGAGAATGCGTTGAAACGGAAACTTCGCGCTTACTGCAGGCTCGTGCCCACGCTGGACAATCTTCGTGATCCCACGACCAGCTTGGCGCCCTTCCCACAGCACGTAGCGCTGCATGTACTTGTTCACAGTCTTCCCACTCGTATCGGTGAGCAAGAACACAGTGTGATATCCGCTCCAGCCATTCATAATTACGAAAACCGCGACAGATCGCGAGCCGTTGTTCTGTGGCGGGAACATCAAA